TCTGGCCCCCTTTGTCTGTGCCGCATGGCTTTGCCAGCCCTGGGGGATGGGGGTGGGGGGGACATAGGTGGCAGCGAGGACTGGTTGGGTGGTCACTGCTGGCCCTTCTGCCAACCGAGGTCATCCAGGAAGGGCCCCATGGAGTGTCCCTGAAGCCTGGCTGGGGGACAGAGGGCCAGGACAGTGAGGGGACAGCCCCTAGGAACTCCCCAGGCTGTGTGAAGCAGAGGAGTCGGGGGGACTCCGGCTTGTGACATTGGAGACACACATGGAGCCTTTCTGGAGTCGATTAGAAGAGAGTAAGACAGGGCCTGTAGACTGTCCCCAGGGCAGGTGTGTCCACATCCATTGGCCTGTGAGATGTGACCGCTGTTTCTGTTCCGAGTTGAGGCTGTTGTGGTCCTGCCTGGTCCTTCAGGATGGTGTTGGACACCTGCCCAGGGGGCTTGTGTGTCTGTCGGCGATGCTCAGGAGAAGATGGAGGGGTGGGGCAAGAGCAGGGGCCCCCGGCCCTGAGGGTGATTTGGGGTGTGGTGAGGGCACAGGGAGAGTCAGTGCACTGGGGGCTGGAGGAGGCAGACTCCAGGTGGAGGCTGTGCAGGGGCAGGGGAGGTGGCCAGGTCCGAGTCACAGCACCAGGTTCCCGGAGCTGCCCTGTTGGCTTGAGCCCTCAGACATGCTGGCCCAGGCCCTGCTGAAGAGTGGACACCAGCGCCTTGAGCTGGCCGGCCTCTCCCTGGTGCTCCTCTGGGCCTGCGGAGGGGTGACATGGGCCCATGGTCCCTGGGCAGTAGGGTGCCCTGGGGCGCTGCCTGCAGATGGCCAGGCCGCCCTGGGACTCATACTTGCAAACAGAGCACCAGCTGGAGGGGCTCCTGGGGCCCAGAGGCGGTGTGTGCATGCACGTGAGGTGCCCGCCCAGTGGCAGAACTGGTGCTAGGAGTCTCCAGGGTGGGAAGGCGGACCCCAGCAGAGAAGGTGGGAAGGGCAGGTCTTGGGCAGCTGGGGATGAGGCTGTGAAGGTGCGGCGCTGAGCCAGTGGAGGAGGGTGCTGCCTAGACACTGACCCCCAGTGGGTGAGCGCTTCGATGACCTCGCAGATCCGAGAGACTGGCGAGAGGCCCAGCAACGAGGAGATCTTGCGCTTCTCAAAGCTGTTCGAAGACGAGCTGACCCTGGACAACCTGACGCGGCCGCAGCTGGTGGCGCTGTGCAAACTGCTGGAGCTGCAGTCCATAGGCACCAACAACTTCCTGCGCTTCCAGCTCACCATGCGGCTGCGCTCCATCAAAGCCGATGACAAGGTGGGCAGTCGGCACTCAGCAGGGTGTGTGTGTGTGTGTGTGTGTGTGTG